GCTGCTCTAAGTGTCGCGGGCCTACCCCCGCTACTTGAGTGTTTACCCCCCTGCAACCCTCAAAGTCACGGCCACAGGTAAGTACCGGCCCTGCGGGACCTTGCAACCAACAAGTACCCTTGCGGGTCACACACACACGCAACCGAGAAGCACTAAGATAGGCATGCAAACCAGCAGGCACGCACACACACACAGACTTGGAAACCACAGCAGAATGCAGGAATCACAGCAAGGCATTCATTCCAGTGGCAAATCCCAAAAATCAGCAGTGTTCTCAGTCTGTGTTTTTGGCGGGTCATTACACTACCCCCCTCTCAGGAGCGAGGTCCCTTCGAGCGAGTAACTCATTCAGAGTCGGCATAGAATGCATCGTAGGCGCAGATCAAAAAGAGGGATTTAGTAAGACTGTAGGGAGTGAGTTTTGCAGAAAACTTAGCAGTCTGTCCATCAGCGATCTGTCGTTCATAAGCGTTCACAACACGGGGAGCATTCTTTAACAGCTCTTTTCGGTCGATCCAGAAGAATTCGGTCAACGGGTGATAGAGAAAGTGAACCTTGTACTGTCTGTTCCTCCCTCTTCCCTCGTGGGAAGCAATTCTGTCTATCTCATGACCGCCATCGATAGGACGAGGTATCATAGGATCTCGGAAGGGAAAAGTCTCATCATCGATGTGTGGAAACAGTTTGGATGCGTGAAAAACCGGATATGTGCGCAGATGAGGAGGCACGCCAATCACGTACGAAGGACCAAAATCATCCCCAATCACCTTTAGAACCTGCCAAGGCCATAGTACAATGGAAGAAGCTTTCGTGATACGCCCTCTTCGTCAGAAAACTCAGACATTTTTAACCCAGACATTTTAACCCAGACATAGCTTCCTACTTCGAAGGTCCCTTCTTTGCGCGACTTGTTAGCATGTTTGATCATGGCATGCTGACACTTGTTCATTGTTGCGATAGCAGCTTTGAGCAAGCGTGCATACTTGGCATTGTAACTAGGCATGTCGGGCGTCAGACCAGGTGACCGTTCGGGGAACAAATAACAGAGAGGATTGCGCAACTGTCATCCGTATTGCAACTGATTCGGTGTCACACCCGTTGCAGAGTGAATGGAGTTGTTGTACAACCACTTCACTTTGTGTAACTCCTTGTCCCACGTGTTCTAATCTGGAACAATTAACACACAAATTAGTTGGATGACAGTCTGGTTGATTTCCTCAGCCAATCCGTTGGCTTCGGGGTGTCGACCAGAAGTCTTGTTGAGTTTAATGTCGTAGATCTGAGAAGTGAAGTCCTTCCAATCTTTGCTAATAAATCTGGTGTCCCAATCACTCACAATAGTTTTCGGGTGCCAAACTGCAGAATATACTGTTGATGAAATTCTTCCATGACAAACTCAGTTGGGGCATGGGGAGGGAAAGGAATCAAGTTCAGAAATCTGGAAAAACGGTCCACGATGACCATGACTTGTGAATTCCCTGCCTCACTCACCTTTCCCATGTACGTGAAGTCGATGGAAATCGACTCACTGGGTCCATCAGGAATGGGGAGGGGTCTCAGCAGGCCATAAGGCTTATGCCTGTGGACCTTGGTTCTTTGACAGACTTGACATTCAACAATAAACTTCTGAGCAGATCCCTTCATTCCTAGCCAATCAAACTGTTGCAAAAGGCTTTCATAAGTCTTTTCAAAGTCGAAGTGTCCATTCCGACCATGTGCCAAATCCAAGAAATGAGTCCGGAGAGACGCATGGTTGGGTACACACAAGCGATCAAACTTCCCATACCGGCGGAATACAAGACCCTCGCACTCATGAAAATCAGGCTGATTGTTAGGGTCAGCCTTGAGCTGCTCAAGGATGGGAATAAGGTCCGGATCCTTGGCGGTGTGTTCGGCCAGATCCTCCTTCAGTTTCCTTCGGAGGTCATACAAACCTACAAGGCAAGTCAAAAACTCAGGATGGCGGGACAAAGCATCAACAACTCGGTTATAACAACCTTTCTTGTGTTTCAACTCAAAGTTATAGACATCAATGTCATGCAACCAGCGGGTCAGTGTAGGAGAGAGATCAGTTTGTGTCTTAATCCACTGCAAGGTTTGATGATCTGAGTAAACCTTGAAGTGCTGACCTAAGAGGTAGTGCTTCCAATGTGTGAGCGCCTCGCGCAAGGCGTAGAGCTCACACATATACGTGGAGGTAACTACCTTGTGGCTGGGCATGCGTTTGCTGTAATACTCGAGCGGACGCAGGCCATCACCATCATCTTGTTGCAGCACTGCACCAATCTCAAACTGGCTCGCGTTCATAGTGACTACAGATGTGAGGTTGGGATCCGCAATGCGGAGCACAGGATGACTCACCAATGCCTCTTTCAAGGCTTGGAACGCAGTCTCACATTTCTCACACCACACATAGGCAACATTCATACTTGTTAGTCTTGAGAGTGGGTGAGCAATGACAAAAAAATTGGGCACAAACTTCCGGTAATATGAGGCCAAACTAAGAAAAGAACGCAGTTCGCGTAAGTTCGCTGGTTGAGGCCACTTTCGGATGACCTCAACCTTGGTTGCCTCCGGCTCAAGGCCGTTTGCAGACAACCAGTGCCCAAGATAGATGACGTTGTCCCTTCCAAACTTAGATTTCTCTAAGTTGAGGTGCAACTGTGCCTCCTTGAGGACCTGCAAAACCTCCTCAAGGTGCTTGACGTGCTCTTTCATGGACTTGTTGAAAATCAGGATGTCATAAAGGTAAACAAATGTTAAGCTGATGGCGGAGAACCTTGTCCATGA